TATACATATGAACTTATGAGTTTGTTCGCAAGTCATAATTTCAGGCACTGAAATATTTGCACTGCTATTACAGCTTTCTATTCCAAACTGTTACCTCTCAGTTACTTTACCTCTCAACTACTAATAAGTTATTAGTTTTCCTGTTGATACACTTACCTTGATATTGGAAGATAACTGGTAGAAACGAAATGTTAACCCAAACAAAACAACTACAATATGTTAGATATAATGACATTGTGACATCACCTTGGCAACTGCACCAAGCACTTGATCACAACCCAAGTTATCCTCAATGCATAGATCAGTTGCGTATGAATGAGGTGCCGGTGCCCCGTGTGCTATCCCTGGGAAGGGAATAGGAGTTAGAAAATGTAAAAAATTATAGTTTTGAAAAAAAAATTATACATATTTATATGTGTGTGTGCACGCGCGCGTATATATATGTGTATATATATATATATATATGTGTGTGTGTGTGTGTGTGTGTGTGTGTGTCAGGATGGGGTGTCAGGAAGTTTTCGCACAGGGTACTGACCTTGCTATGCCACTGGCAAAGATACCACCCACTATCAGTGTGATGGCAGTTGAAATATTCATGCAACATTTGACAGAATCAATCATTTACATTTCTTACCCAAGAATACAAATTAGGCAGAAGAGGGAACAGTAATATATCCTGCTGGGAGTGTTCAGACTGACAGCAAGGGGGCAGCAAAGCTGAGTTCAATTTGAGAGGACTGACTTTATTGCACCGAGTTATCTCTATCCGTAGAACGGCTAGAGAGCATCAAACACAGCACGCACTCCGTGAAAAATTGTGGTATCTATCTATGATGTGAATTGTACATAATATTGCTGAGCTGCAGAAGTAAAGGCTGAGATACATACAAGATGTTTTCATTACTAAATTAATCAATAGCGCCTTTTATTTGCGCTGTGAAAGTTACAGAATAAATCTACGAGTAAACTGTCATGAAAAATAACTTTGCCTGTATTGATGGGCACTCATATGGCATGCTTGCATATACTGTCGATGTAGGGATAAACAGCTATGGTTTGTTGTGTATGTATTAGCATATGTTTTTTTCCAGAAACATCATCTTTTTTTTTCTTCGCATCTGGGTGTAACCAGAGGGTCTGGGCAGCTCACAACACTAAGAGAAAAGACAAGACGGACATATAACCGGATTACAACCGGTACCATTAGTATTGGAAATCTGCGCTGGCTGCTGAAGATGAGGCCTTGAGTGCTGTGATGTGAGGCAATGCATCCGATTTCTGCAGGCATTTATTGTTTCAGACACATAAAGTATGCACAGAACTGCTTTATACATGCTAATTCAGAAATTGCTTAACCAAAATACATCTAAACCTACCGATGCTTGATTCAGTCATGGTATTCACCATTAGTTCTGCTAAAGTGAATTATAGACACAAGTGAGATATTTGAGTCGTATTTTTAAAAAATGCCACTGTTGTAAAAACCAAAGTGGATGGAAAAGTTAGGAGCAAAAGAGCGAGAGATGACTAGTGATACCGATGGGGTGATAGCGTCAAGAGATGGGCAAACGGCAGTCCAGCAGTCTCATAAAGAGTACAACCAGAGAGATATCCAGTTCAACCAACCTTCCTTGTGGAGACATCACTGGATTCTTCTTCTTCTCAGATCCTTCTGTCCAAAAACTGTTATCAGGAGGCCTGTAGCCTTTATGAAAGCTATCGTGCAGTCCATATCCTCTAGTGTACCATACAGCTTTGTCTTTAGTGTGGTTGGAACAGGCCAAGATTGCATCTCTGTTGTCAGCATACAGTTGACAGTGTTGGAGCACATGCTCAGCATTTTCGAGTGCCACTAGATTTATTACTTAAAAGTGGTGTGGAGTCTAGTCTTCTGATATATGGCCGACAAAGAATATTGATATAAAATGTAAAAGGAAAACAGTGTATAATACCCTGGCATGAAACTTAGATTAAACAAACACATAAATTCCCAAGAATACATCTCTGGGTAGGAATGTCAATAGATTTATAGAAGATGTACATAGCAAACAATACATGTCGTTACAGTCTATGGATTAGGTTAAGTTAGTTGCGTATCCTTTACAGGACGTTGCAGAACATACCCCAACAGCCCCTGGCAGTTGTATGGTTTTTCTAGGCAAATTTACGTCCAGTAGTTTGCCATTGCTTCCTGGACGGTCGGCTTTCTTGATACCCCTGTCGAAACCAATGCAAGGCGTATGGCCTACAACTGGGATCGAACCCGGCATCCCAACGTTACGAAGCGTTTGCATCGACTTAGCCACAGAGCCAATTCTATAGATTAAGCAGCGCAAAAAAAAAAAAAATACGAGATTAGGTGGAAAGCACATTAGTATCTATATTGTTTACTTCTTTCATTCTTCATTCTTTCTCTCTTGCTTTAGTAGTGGTGTGTGTGTGTGTGTGTGTGTGTGTGTGTGTGTGTGTGTGTGTGTGTTAATTATTGTATTAAATCACTAGAAAATATGTTATGGCCTCGTTTCTGTGTATCATTTTAACTGTGCTTATAAACCTTGACAACTAAACTATTAGTGACTACAGAGGAAATAAATACGTATTTTCTCTCTACTGTATTGACTGTCTGCAGTGTTTGTTTCTGTCCTTCAGACTGGCTGTAGATATATCACCGTGCTACGATTCCGACGAGGAGACATCCGTTGATGGCGATTATGATCACGGCGACCGGGTCAGCACAGACAAGGCACATCAGCTCCGAGAAAACCAGAAGAAACAATCGAATCACAACAAAACCGAGGAGAATGGGCAAACAAATCAGACCATAAAACATAACAACAGCAGAAGTCACAACCATAGTTGCAGCTGGTACTCGCGACACAACACCCCGGACAAAATAGCCAAAGATATATATAACCATGAGCACGTCGGTGACGTGGCTCTGGACAATATTCACAACATATGCTTAGATTCCGAGTTTAAGAGATGTGTGGAAGAAGAAGGCAACGACTTTAAAGAAGATGTATGCGAATGTGAAATAGTAGATAACAGGTGGAAGCCATGTCACCAAAGCCACGCTGCAGGAGATGCTGCGAATGAGAACTGTCGCAGACCTTTCAATCAGTATTTCGACACTGAGCTGTCTAGTTGTTTTGAAGGAGAAACTAGACTGGAAAATGAAACCTACCCGTCTCACAACTCGCTTGCTGAAGGCAACGTATGCTCTGAGCTGAGGGAAAGTCTTAGATGTGTGGATCAGTGTACCACAAGCATCCAGTGGACATACAAGAACATCAGCGTGGACAGAAACGATAACTTTTGCCAACAGGGGGCACAACCAGTCGAGACTCTTGAGGCACAAGTTGACGAAGATGATGATCATCCGACACTTGGCTGCAATGACGAGGCCAGTTCCGATTCACAAGAAGAATTGCCTATTGATCTGGATGAGGATATTGACATCATCGACAAAATGGTAGGCAAATGTGTGCAGTGCTGATTCGGATGAAATAGTTTTTGTAATTGCGCATGTGTAATTTTAGGCTTTTATGTTGTTATTAGCGGATGGCTGAACGGTTAGAACGTTACGCTCTCTTGAAGGAGACCTGAGTTCGAAACCTCGGTAAGGCTGGGGATTTTTTTCTGTCGGGGGAAAAATAAAATCCTCACCTACAGAGTCGTGGCGACAGCACTAGCCATGCAGCCATAAAGCTTCAGGCTCAAAATACCCCCTCCCTCTTTCCATCCCCGCCTACACTGCAGAAGTGGTATATAAAGGCAGTAATTGGCTGTTTGTTGGTATATGTTTGTTGTTCTATTCTTTAAATTATCAGTCGTCCCCATGTGGAATACAATTTTTTGTTATTTTGAAGCCCCACCCTAGCTTTTGCCAAGGGTCCTAAATATATATAGCCAGGCCTTATATATGGCCTAACGGCTCAACGGGGTTCCCAGGTCCTCTCCACTGGCGATCCTTATCCCCATGGTGGCACTTTGTGTCACTGGGTGTTTATCGCTTGTGTGATGTCCTGATGGGGTTTAACTTACCTACCGATTCTTTTCCAAAACCTTTAGTCGATCTGGACCTCAGGGTTCTATGTACCATCAGAGGGCGCCGATCGGTTTTACTATTACTCATTAATAACGAGGATAACCCAACAGGCGAAATTGAAAGCGGAGCATTTGCCTTTTGATTTGGCGACCTGACTTATCCCTTCAGGTAGCCAGCCAGATGAGGAGCCGGCATTATGGGGTTCCCTCCCTCCCCTCTCCCCCCTTTCCTTTCCAAATTGTAGCCTGTTTCCCTGTTAAACTGGGGAAATCGAGATTTTTTCCAATTGGATTCTTATCCTTGAGGTAATTATCTGACAGTCTGCAATTCTTGAGGGGACAAACTATTTTCTTCTTCTTCTTCTTCTTCTTCTGCTTCTTCTTCTTCTTCTTCTTCTTCTTCTTCTTCTTCTTCTTCTTCTTCTTCTTCTTCTTCTTCTTCTTCTTCTTCTTCTTCTTCTTCTTATTCTTCTTCTCTTCCACATTGTACCTCAGCAAAGTGTCGGGTGAGATTTAACATTCGTTGATGAGCTCTGTCTAGAGCTCATTTCTGTAAGGTTTTTGAAGCCATCACTCCATATTTTCGAGGTTTTCCACAATCTATCTACCTGTTCGTTTTTCTATTTTGACTAGGGACGAAAAGAAATATACTTTAAAATAACATTTATATGATTCTATTATTGCTATTAGTAATTATATTGGTAAGGATTGCACGATTATGAATTTAAAACTAGTCAGTATCTTATGTAACATAGTGGTGTAGTGGTTTGAGACTTAATTTTATGTCAAAAACCGTTTGGTTCATACAAGTCAAATATGCTTTTCGTACAAATTGCACAGGAATAGAGTGGCTTAAAAATTATTAGAATGTTATGTTTCAGATTCTATTTCATATTGTCTGTGTTCATTGCTAAGTAATGTGGCTTGTTATCTGTGTGTTTATACACGCACAGGTCATGAGACAGTCGATGACAGCATCTTGTTTCGAAGAGATCGAGGCCAGTGAACTAGTGGAGACTATGGTACAGTCGTTTCAGGGTGAGTTGTACACATCTTCCATGCCTGTTGTGTGTACCTACTAAAGATAGCAAACGCTGTACCTTGAGGATTGTTGTTTTTATTGTTATTTGTTGATTGTTGGATTAGGAATCGACATCACAGCATTTGGGACACTCCCACAAGTGCACAGTCCCCATTTTCAGCAGCAGGCGAAGAGTTCCAATTCCAATGGTACTCGTAACCATCTGATTGTAAATCCGTCTCATCCTTCCCCTGAGTGTTGGGCGTCGGCCGGATGCGCTGGTAACTCCTCGCGGCGCCATTCTCCTTAGACCATAATGATCTATCTGCGCCTCTTCAACGTTTGAACCCGGGACCGCCAGCACTCGAGGCAGATACCATACCTCAATACCATTTTTTCAGTGCCGTTTCTGAAAACAGTACACTATCCCATCTGCGTCGACTCTATCCTTCATGTAATAAATCTATGTATGGACAAAGTTGACGTCGAGAGGATCGACATCACTACACTATATTTAATCCCATATGGCTCGGTTTCTTTTCGCAGAACGGCAGTCCGCCAGTGGAGTGCATAGCACATAGCACGGACTCCGTGTGGCTCCATCGACCATCCCGGGGCCTTTCGTAAAATAAATGCGCTGATGAACTGAACAATATGTTCGTGTGACGAATCCATGACCTTAAAGACCGTTAGGTAATCTGCTTGTCCATTTCGCTATGGAGACCCCAGAACAATTACTTCCAGTCTACATTTTTGCTTTATAACAAAGACTTTCATAAGGAAGGGGGTGGGTTAAAGAGGGGAATTTGAGTTGTCGATCTTGAGCTAAAAAATGCGTCACTGTATGTGTCTGAGTATGAATGTGAATGTGCGTGTCTGTCTTTCTAGCTGGTTTTCTTATTCTCGGAGTTGTGTACCACTCCAGTCAGAGCATCTTCAGCTGTACACACAACGAGGTCTTTCAGTGACCATCCCATATCTGATATGTGTATTATAGACAGTTACTTGCTCACACCGTTTTTTGCAACAGAATCTGATGTCACTGTGATGTAGCGCCTAACGACGTCATTGGGGCGTCAGTAGGCGTAAATTGTTTTGGCTGTGCTCGCAACACATTAGAAAGTCTGTTTTGTGGTTGTAAGTGAAATATCATTTAATGAAATATGCAAGGTTAGACTTGGCTTTTGAATAGGTGAGACAACTAGCGGAATAAATTTCAACCAGCACTTTCAACCAGTACTTCGTACAGTGGACAACCGGCACATAAAGAGACCAGCAGTTGTGACTGTTGTACATTTAAATCTTCTGCTTCTTTTGAGCTCACGGGTTGTAAACTCCAGCAGAAATTCCTGGTTGTTCGTCCACTTTTAGGCTTTATTCTTATTCCAGAACGTGACTATTGCGTGCACGTCCGTTTCACATTGTTCATTTTTATGCACTCGGAATTCGAAGGCAGCACCCTAAATTAGTCGATCTCTACGACATGCTTGTTAGGGGGCACAGAGATTGCTATACTTGTCCCCACAAGGGGACCGCAAAACTCACACGGGCAGCATGTTTAGTTGTGAAACATTATAAATAAACCTCTGCCCTTACTCAATCGTAGGAAACAACCTGCATAAAGATGGCTGGGAAAGGTAGGGGGGGGGGGTGGGGGGTGAGAGTTAAAAACTGAGAATATCAGATCAGCAAAATCTCCGGTTTCAGTCACACAAAAATGACTCGTATATCTCTCAGTACACTTCTGTCTTGGGTATTCCTTTCGATGTCATCGATTGAATTTATTCCAGCATCTTCGGAGTCTCTCATCAACGTTCGAATCATGTTTTTCTTTAACGGCCCAGCCCCCCCCCTCTATATATATATATATTTATGTGTGTGTGTGTGCGCGTGCGCGCGCGCGCGCGCGTGTGTGTGTGTGTGTGTGTGTGTGTGTGTGTGTGTGTGTGTGTGAAGAATACTCATAGAAATAACTAACATGCTTTCTCATTTACAGCTGAGGAAATAGCAAGCGAAATGAGCAAATCGATCGCTGAAGAGATCCATGACGTACTCCTTGGTGACGACGATGAGAAGGCTGAAATCCAGCTGACAAATACTGGTGTCAGTGTGCTTCCTTTTTCATATCCATTCACGTTAAAACACGTTGGCCATCTGTTTGATAAGTCCAGACATCTTTTCAACATTTCAGAAACAAAGAAGCGGTAAATATTAAAGCATTGTCTATGAAGAAATGTCACTTCTTCTTGTGATCTTACTGAGATCTCCTTCTGGCTAGCAGATCCTGGTACACCAGTGAGTTATTCTCTTCATGCGTTAATGGGTCCCTGATTATAACTTCAAAGTCCGGTGTGGGTTCCAGGGTCCCATTGGAAAGGGGGGGGGGGGATTGACCCATCACCCCCAACAAACATGTCCTACAGTTGGGCTAAAATCTCCCTAATCAGCCCAACTGGTAATCTGGTAATCTGGTATTCCAAGTTTCAGCTTCATAGCAAACGGGTCACCCCATAGTTGCTCCGCTCCTGTGCCAACGAAAAATACACGTAGCTCACAGTGTCACGCCATGCACTCAACTCAGAAGCTGGGCGACAAAACTATATCCTTCTAGTCTACAAATGGAGCAAAAATTGCAAAGGCCACCGTCTGGCAGGGAAAAAAAGGTGGCCGTGCCTAGCGTCCATTTTGACCTGAAGCATTATATGAGGGTTAATAAACATTCACCCCAGCAGTACGCTCATTATTAGCTAGGGAAGGGACTTAGGACATTACATCTACCAGCAGGCGTCGCCCCTACAACGACCTGTTGGAGTGCATCTGCCTGAGAGGCAGGGAACCATAAGATAAGCCGGATCTGTAAAACGGATGTGCACGCATCACTCAAGTTCTGGAACAGGACTGAAGTTCAGAAGTGGACGAACAACTGACTCTTTATCACAAAGTGTTTGCAAACTGTTTCCCGTAAGATACGTTGCCATATGTATATATAAGGATTATTTATCTAAAATCCATTTTATTGGTTTCATTACAAAGCGTGAAAAATAGATCTACAGGTGTGGCAGAATTAAGTAAAACATTAATTTTCTATGAATTATTCATCATAAATTGGTCCAAAATATCACCGTAGGCATTAAGGCAAGCATCCCATTGTTTGAGTGGGCGGTAAATGTCGTCCTCTAAAACAAAAACAAAAAGGAAAGATTGTGGCTGCTCATAGAACCATGCATTCCCTTTGATGGTGGGTCGACATTCACGGTACTTACTGTGAACACACCCTCCAACAGTTTCTTACGAGCAACTTTTTAAACTGTCCCAACTCACAAGCTGAATTCCTTTGGTAGAGAACGTTAACTTCGACAACGTTTCGTCTGGACTGGTCCATCAGTTTCAGCGATGGTGTTTGTTTTTGCTTTACTTAACTGAAGAAAATCTTTCGGGGATTCCTGCCCTTTCCGAAAACAACCGTGCCCAGTCTGTAACTATTGTTTTCGATACATTTGTTACTGTGCACTGTTTGCTCTTTCAATGAAAGTCCACTGGTTGAAATCCTTTAAATGAAAGAATCTGAATCACTTCTCTTATAGCTTATTTGAACGAATTTTGGGTCAGCCTAACCTTTTTTCTTAACGGTCAGAAACGTAATCTATGTGTCATAGGACGATAAGCACGTGCTCTTTTACGCATTGATCAGACTTATGACATGACTATTACATGATCTTGTGCATTATTATCATCACAAACCACTTCTGCCGTTAAGCGCCGTTAAGGAATAATCTGCGATTCAGTACACGCTGGCTGCCATTGGCTATTGTCATGCCGTGAATGCGTAGTGTCTTTAATGTTGTCGATCCATGTTTTCCGAGGCCGTTGTCTCGCTCTTGTAGCTGATCTTCTGAGATGTAGTGCTTGTGATGGTATTTGATCTTGCTGCATTCTAACAAGACGGCTAAACCACTTGATCTGCTGTTTCTCGATAAATCTAGTACAAGTTCCCACAATGGCTCTGATAGTATCATTATTAACTAGATCTCGGATGGTTATGTGGGCTGCTTTTCTCGGGCATCTCATCTCGCAGGTGGTGATTTTGCGTCTATGAGCTAAAGATAGTGTCCATGTTTGGCACTGGTAGCTTAATGTTTAAATGAAAATGCTTGATCTTGTGCAACGCACGCAATTAGACGTGGAGCGGCGCGAACGGGTTTGTGATGAACCCAGCAAACAGAATGCCGTCTACAATTACTGTCCAACCATTACTGCCTTTTCTTATGTCTCTTCAGTCTACTGTCTTCTTCCCATTAAACCAATCATTGTCTTTGTTTTTAAAGTTTGCCATCGTCCTCTTCTAGCGTGATTTTCATAGACGCGTCATACCCATTTATGTCCATTAAATAAACAGAGGGGGGAACCTTTTGAGGCCGTTAAATATTATGAATTAATCAAGTAACAGAAAGTATTGTGATCAGCACTCATAGAAAGAAGTAGAAAGAACAGATGTTGTTCCTCAAACGGTGAGCACACGGGCTAATCTGCCAGTTTGGTTCTAGTTTGAATACGACGTGTGCATTTGTTTATCACAGAGCAGTTCATGCGAACCCTGCATTAAGGACAATAACCACAGACTCTCTCCTATCTACACGTTTTTCATACTTACTTGTAAAATTTATGCAATTAGTCATCGCTTGAAATCTGTGTAGATGGCGGGAGAGATGTAAGGATTGCACACTTTATTTTACTTCCACATATGTGTAATTTACGTGGGTCAGTGTGTGCGTGTGCGCGCTCGTGTATGTGTATCTGTGTGTGCCTGCGTCCGGACTTGGAACAAGTTTTACTTCAGTTACGGATGAGACGTTAGTGAATTCAAGACAATTAAAAAGAAAAGCTTTGCAAAGATGACTTTTGCCACCTCTCATTTTCAACCTTTACTTAAACATTACACAGATTTATTCAAACCTACCGTTGGAAGCTAAACCATGTGCATTCTGAAATATAAAAGCAGTTCACTTTTAGTAGTAGAGTCTGAGGGTAATCTTCAGTCAGTTTGATAGTTGTGACATATTCTACCCAATGGTAAAGGTAAAGTCGGGGGATGTGAACCAGCGTCATTGCACACGGTTATAAACCATAAGGGCTCTGCCACCAATACGGACTGCTGATAAAAAACTGTCCGCCTATGTCGCAGTCCGCACGAAACTCCCTATTTACAGCGACGTTCCTCCATTTAACTCCTGTACCCATTTCCTAGAGGCTGGGTGAACAAGGTGACTGCCCGGTTTTGAACACCGGACGTGGGCTACAGTGAGTCGCAGCCGGATTTGAAAGCGATTCTGCTATCGACTGCGCTAACGCCGCCCCATACACTTCCCAAATGTGTAATGAAGTCTGCCTGGCCGTTCCATTGCTTTACTACCTACATAACAGTCAGAGATTAATGAGTTGCCATCGGTCAGATATGTGACTCAGTGGTTAGTTGACACGACTTTCCATAAAAGAGTGTTATACTGGACTATGGAGAAGCAAGGGAATCACAGCCCATGGCATCTCAGAACCTCTCCATGGCACAAAGCCTGGACAGTATTGTAGAGACCATGTGTGGCCTTTACACCACAATCCCTCTCTCGACCTATCTTGTTTACTGCAGAAGAGAAAATAACACCAGTACCAATGGCTCACTACCGAAAGAAACAGTTAATCAACAGAGACACAGTTAAGACACTTCAGACTGCGGTGCCTACCAGGACTGTAATGGTCAGCATATATTGTACTTAGGACATGTCCTGTTGTTTTTGTTTCACGAGCAGACTCAACTTGCCACCAGTGGAAGAGTCGACACATGTCCACTACAATAATCCGAACGCAAACAGAACAAACATGCTACCATGCTACGAGGTCTCCAGAACACAAGTTACCGTGGCTAGTAATGGAGGTAACCAATTTGGTCACATTTTCAGCATCGTCACCATCCTCATAAGCAGCCGCATTATCACCCCAGTCACCATCATCGTCATCGTCATTGTCATCCCAATCACCATCATTGTGAAGTTAATTATTCCTAACACTTTCATGACAATCAAGTCTTCATGGTGCACCCTTTCCCCTGCTTTTGGGAATATTTTCGGCTCAGTAGTCGACTTCTTCGGTTATCCTGGAATACTTTTCTGCGTACACCAAATCTAATTGTATTTACCAATGTACATGTAAATGCCAGTTGACTTACATCGGTTGAACGGAGAGACAGCTTGGAAATAGAGTGGCAGAGCACATACCCAAATGGCTACATACACAGCTGAGTGATTCTTCTAGGGTATCGAGACCAGTCAAGGGGAAGAACCCGCTTCTTCCATAGGACGGCATCTACTGAATTCCAAACACATAATTGACACAGACAGTGCTTTCCGTGTTGTTTACCACACTCCGAACAGGAGACTTTTGAGAATCGCAGAAGCCATAACAATAAAAATCAACAACCCCCTCCTTTGTAAGCAGACGGAATTTATCCTGGAGTTATTATTATTATTATTAGCGTTTACCGGCTGTAAACCCGACGGATAGTTTCGGTTGTGACTTGTACCAGAACCTGCGTGTTACGTGCAATCTGTTTTTACAGATCTGACTTATTTGTATTCAGACTATTGGTTCCTTGCCTCTCAAGCAGAGGCACTCCTACTTCGAATGAAACCCCAATTAGTCGATTCCTACGACATGCTTGTTGGGTAGGCAGGGGTCAATTCTTTTTTCCTTCACAGTGAGCCCCGGAACCCACGCGGAAAGTTTATAATAATAATTATTATTATTTTCATTATTGTGTTCGATTTTTCTCTAGGCTTGATAATTGTGTCTTCTGTAAATAAGCTGGCCCAGAACAAATCTATAAATCCCCCCTTCTAGTAAAACTTGCTGCTTCCACTGTTCTTTTTACTCTCCAGCTGCCTTGTCATTTTATTAATCAGATTAACCGGTAATTCAACCACATATGCAGTTTATTGATGAGTTTACTTATTTGTTCTCTAAACACGAATACAGCTGTTTGTTCCTCTTATCCATCTCTCTCTCTCTCTCTCTCTCTCTCTCTCTCTCTCTCTCTCTCTCTCTCTCTCTCTCTCTCTCTCTCTTCGCACAGTTTATTGATTTGTTCATTCGTCATCTTATGTCGTTTATTAATGTGTTCCTCAGTTGGCACACGTAGTTTATGGATTCATTCCTTTATGTACACATGGTGTGTATTCAACCATTCATTCAATCATCCATAAAAAGATGTGTTAATTCATATATACATCCACCCATATATTTTATTGTTCATATGATAGTTTCCACTGATGCATCCACACATATAATTAATGAATCCATTCAGTATCCATATAGTATGTTTATTAGTTCACACATTCATCCGTTCATACATTCTTCTGTGTTTCACTGTTCCATTAATGTTTTTTACTCGGAAATTTTCATATCAGCTTATTCGTCAGTATATATGGTTTATTTAACCATTTGTCGATCGTTCTATTTCATCTATACATACACATTATTGACTGCTTATTCCGTTTACCTTCAGATTATTTTTGTAACTAGCCGAAACTGTCACTTCCTAGTATGTGATCTAATTAAGAATGTGTTGTTCAAAAACGTCCTAGCTAATTCGGTTTTATCCGATTTTGATGACAGATAATCTAGGCAAAAAATGTTCCGTGTCAACAATGACAGCCGTGTCATCTCTGGACCTGGAGGTGACTCACAGAGGTCTGCACCGCTTCATCCCCCGTCACAAGGACGAGATTAACATCGGTATTGGCGATCCCATACATGTCATCAAAGAGTGTGACGATCTGTGGTGCGAAGGTAGGTTGCGACATTTGATCTTGGGAGTGAGGTTTTGTGGTGTAGAGCAATCTTGATGAAGTACAAGAATCGAACTGTCTGCTAGCTATGTCTTTATCTTAGATGTGGAGGGAGGATTTGTGGTATGAAGGTGTTTGTCTTTATACAATCATCAAGGAATTTGCGACCTTAAGATAGTCTGTATATTTCAAAGATGAATGTTTTGACGTGTGGCGTAAACGTTTCTTTGTCTATGCCATGAAAACAAAATATATTGTTTGCATTGAATGCTGACATCGGCGGACTCGATAATTTTCAAATACAGACAGAAAATATGTTTAGGTTTATAACATAAGTAGAAAGCTGGTGTACTTAATTGGGCAGACTTAAAATGGCACGCTAACCATTAGAGGTTGCACACTTTATCGTGTGTGGCATTTTATCATATCACTTTAGAGAAAAATAGATGCGGTGTAAGGATTGTCTGTCAATCAGGGGTAGTCTACCACTTTCGTCCCATTTAAATGTGCTCTGTATGCCTACCCAGACCACACTCCATGAATTACTGAGCCATCTATATACATGATGACATTCTTTCCTGTGCAGAGACTTCGATATGAAGGGTGGAATCTAGTCCAACACTCTTCGCTTCTCCTAGCGAGATGAGACGTGCTGCCTTGTAAATGACAACATTCATCATTTAAATCTTATTTAAAAAAAAACAGTAACCCCTATGAGAGTCTGATCTGTAAATTTACTTTTTTTTTTTACTTGCTTTGTGTTCTTCTTCCTCCTTCCCCCACCACCAAAAGTGGCATTAGTAAATCACACCCACATTTCAACTGTTTATATACTCCTTTATAAAGTCATTTTATTTATTGTAACCTATTCACATGTGAATGCTATAACTTGATCACTTCTGATGAATTGGGTACTCCTGTATGCCTTTTCTTTTAGCTTGTATCTCATCTGTTTGCGTCTTACAGCTTTAGTAACGATATTTATTTTTTCATTTTTTCAGGTATTAATTTGCGAACTGGAGAAAAAGGTATATTTCCCGCCATGTACGCAAATGATCTCAATTTCTTGGAAGAATCTGGTAATGAAACAAGTATATCTGTGTGGTATTACTGTGGTATTGTTAACTGTCTTGATAATTCCAGTCATATGTTATTGTTATTTTATTATCATAATCCGAATTAGATATAGCCGTGGTAACAATTAGAGTATATTGAGATAGCTTGTTAGTATACATATAAAACAGTGTGTGTATATATATGTGTGTGTGTGTGTATATATATATATATATATATATATATATATATATATATATATATATATATATATATATATATATATATATATATTTTTTTTTTAACAAACTGTGGTATTCCTGACAGATGCAAGAGAGGTACTTCAGGCAAAAGAATCGAAAAATTACCTGGTTTACGGAAACTACTCTCCAAACTAGGCAATCGGTGTAAGGTAACCATGCAACAAGTACCATCACCACAGTGGAGTTCACGTAAATGAAAGAGCTGATAAACTAGCTAAGGAAAGTGGAAATTAAGAACAACCTGACGTAAAAGTCTCTTATCAACAGAAGAAGAAAATAATAAAATCAGAAAGCCTCCAAAACCGACACAAGAAGATTGCCATATTATGAACCGACCAGAGCAGGCTATTATTCTACGCCTAAAAATAGGACACCATTGACTTCGCAGCCACATGTACACAAAATTTAAGACTGGCGTATCAGTCATGTGTACATGTGGATTAGCACCTGAGACAAAAGATCACGTCGTTCAAGACTATTTTAAATACAACATAGCAAGGCAAAACTGTTGGCTAAGAGAAAAACCGGTGCAAGCCAAGCTTTACAGGTCGCTGAGTAAAGTACAACAGAGGGTGAAGGTCATACTAGAGTCAACATTGCAGATATCATCATCAATATGTAGCTAGTCATTTGCAGATCGTCGCTCTCATCACGTTCTGCCTAAAAGAAACTCTATCTCTCGCCTGCATTACGAAGCGCGCTCGCAACCCCTAAGCCATAGAGTTTGCAACCCCCAAGCCATAGACGCCGACAGAATAGGGTACTGTCATATTAAAACGAATAGGGAAATCCATCAGGAAAACAGATGTTTGATGAATGAAAATGATCGCCTGCGTTGCTAGATATGGCTCATGGTGATAACGAAATCCTTCCTTTCTGAATGGATATGGAGACAGTTTAATGGTCTCCTGAAAAATATCTTATCTGTAAATGAAAACTTTTGTCACATTTCTCTTGTTCTTTGTTTGCCAGCCTGCCAGAATCAATGGACGGTACTGGGGTACTAACTGTGAAATTTATGTTACAGATGACGAAGATGAATACTGGAAGTTCAGTATGAGGTTTTTAGGATCTGTCGAGGTTGTTTCACATAAAGGGGATGAAACTCTAGTTCAAGCAATTAGTAAAGTAAGTTTACAGTTATCTTTCCACATACGTTTTCTTATTTACATTTAATAACAGCTATCTGAAGTTATGTAAATTCGTAATGTATAGTTAACTAAAAATCAAACGAATTGTGTGATAGACACAAAGCCTTCAAAGAAACTTCAAGTCGTAAAAGAGGTATTGAAGTCGTCTGATCATTTCTTTGAAGGATACTCAGTACTTTTTCGCAGCTACTCTCTTTAGCTTGGGCGTTGTTGGATTTCAATTTCCTTGAGTGCCTGTGTGGTGTTAAATCACTAGTCGTCTCCATGTGGGATGCAATCTTTTGTTATTTGAAGCCCCACCCTGGCTTCTGCCGGGGACCCTGAATATAGCCGGGGCGTAGATATGGCCTAATGACTGAAAGGGGTTTCTGAGACCTCTCCACGGGTGACCCTCATCCGCATGGTGGCATTTTGTGTCACCGTAAGTTATCGCTTGTGTGATGTCCTAGTGGGAAATAACTACCTACCTGCCTGTGTGGTGCGGTTATTTTGGCCGTTATAGTGAATTAACTGGGCACGAGGTGAGACCTGAGACACAGTGTCCTTTAGCCTATCATGCTTTTGCCAAGCAGACCTCAACCGCCCCCCGCCCTCCCTTTTTGCCCAACACCCCCCCCCACCCCATAGTAATTTAGCTGACCGCTGGTTTGTTGAGATAGTAAACTGAAATAGGTCACGATGATGTTTCCTCTGCTGGGTATGGACACAGATCAGCTCATTCTTCCTTTAAGAGGTTCTGAAGCCATCGATATCTGGTGAAAATGTGCTATAGAAAAAAATTGTATCTTGATGTGTTTGCTGTATCCAAGCGACTCATTTGACCGACTTTTATCGTTCGAAAATATCAGTGTTCTAAATTATCAGTGTTCGCTATCACATAGATGCCATAGAGGAAAGTTAGAAGTACTTTCCTTTTAGGAAAAAATAATAATGCATATATGAGAACGGAGAACAGTGCTGGGTTTTTTTAAATTTCAGTAATGACCTCAACTCGCGAGCCGACCTAGCCTTAAATGGGTAACAGGTAAGAGTCCTGGAAAGTAAAGGCGGTCGGCGTGATGCTGAGCACATCATCTACCAAGTAGCGATTGGTCTATAAAATATAGATCTAGCCCTATATGCCCAGTACGCATGAATGCGTGGGAAGGGTCCCTTGCGTTACTTTACGATGAGGAAGGACACCTGACATAATGGGTATCACCCGTTTTAAACAGATACTAGCTACTTTCTTGAAACCTGTTGAAAAATTGCAAATGTCCTATTCAGCGTCTGTCTCTATTACCAGATCTGTCCCAATATTAAAGGAATTGTAAAACGGTAAATAGATCAATCGTTAATACTCAACAGTCTAGTAAAAGATGCTCCTAATTTCTGCTTACAGACTTAAACTATGGATTTTGCTTTCTCATATCAGGATTTGAACCTACATTAATATGAGACCAACTGGGAGAAAGTGTCAGATTCTACTTACAGTCCAGGCTATAGCTGTAACCACAAGCCAAGCCTTAACACGATAGGATTTTCAACAACAACAACAAACAAAAAAACATCATAGACATGTATCCAGGGCATACATTATTATTCAGTTTTGAAGATGCAACACAGAAGAATATATGAAACCATCAAAGGCATTAATTAGTAATTGAATACTGAAAACTACAACCAAAAACAACAAAACATATACAAATATTAACTGCAAGCTTGACTGGTCCTGCAGATTCCTGAAGTGCCACAAAGCTATGAATAAAACTGGCCTGGAAGCACCGTCTCGGTCTTGAGAATCACCACAAATATGAAAAAGACTGCAGGGGACTTTCTGAGATAACAAAACCAGAAGAAAGGCACATATGGAAAAACAAGATGACAAGGACTGCCTTTCAGAACAACAGTACCAATTTTAGCGTGGTTAAATCACTAATTTCATATCTAGGCACATTACTGCACTGAACGAAGATGGCAATATACACAGATAATTCCAGGCTAGTGATCTTTCAGCAGGAGAGGTAAAGTAAATAAAACAACTTAACCATACATGTCAACAGATCGAGATGACAACAGAATACCAGGCTATTGATCTTTCAGCAGGAGAGGTAAAGTAAATAAAACAACTTAACCATACATGTCAACAGATCGAGATGACAACAGAATACCAGGCTATTGATCTTTCAGCAGGAGAGGTAAAGTAAATAAAACAACTTAACCATACATGTCAACAGATCGAGATGACAACAGAATACCAGGCTATTGATCTTTCAGCAGGAGAGGTAAAGTAAATAAAACAACTTAACCATACATGTCAACAGATCGAGATGACAACAGAATACCAGCAACTAACGATAATAACGCGTGAGTCCATTGGGTTATTACAGTGATGAAGTATTTTTCTGTCATCCTGATGTTTATGTTTTCGAATTCCCTTGATTAGTAGACTTTTTCAATGATCTGCTCTATTGGTCGAGCCAGCATACAGTTGGTATCTTTAAATCATGTCGTTGTTTAGCCACTTCTTCAACAAAAGTGTGGAACATTTTTTTCCCCCAGTGGCCAAGTCCCACAAAGGAAACGTCACTGCGGCATCCTTAAGCACTCTTGAAATAAATCAATATGGAATTAGAATGATTGACAAGAGCAAAGAAGGGGTAAGTTATTATGTACTTATTCAGAAGTCATATACAGTCCTGTTGGTCATTAAATAATTAGACATATTTCTGTTATGACCAAGACAAAAACGAAGCATCCACGATGTTAAATTTGTTTTCTCAACAGTCATCACTCATCTATTAGATTAGAAAAAAAAACTGCAATGCCTTCTGGGTGACGGATGTCAAATAACCGGCCATTTGGTTCAACTAGTGAGAGTTGCTTTGTTGTTTGCAGCATGGAGTAAAGAGTGAATATTACATTTTAAACTCGGAAAAGGTGCTATTGAGACAGCTGAACTAATGACGCAAAATTTATGCAAATCCATGTTAATCATGTCTACAGATATTCAGATGGTATTCACGATTCAAACCTGGTCTGAAAACGATTGAAGAAGAAGCAAGACTGTAACGACTAATACATGTTCGTAGTAATAAACTCACTTCCAGAGCTAGATAACGCATACACAAAGATCGAGAGTGATGATGATGACAAATGAACTTGATGATGAATTTGGTAACACGATTCTTAAAAACTTGTATCTTCAATTTGAATGTCTCAAGACACATTTTTGTCCGTGAACAAGATAATTTAATGTTCATTCTTTGGTTCATGCTGTTTACGCAACCACACAATTTTGATTTCTAAATAAAAGAGTGGACTACTTATCTGCTGACCGGGCAGAGTTACAAATGTGACAGATTATAGATTAATGTTCCTTGTTTAGATGACTTACTTTGCTTCATGGATGGGCTCTTTTGTCTTGGCCATGGTAAAAATCAGTTTCTTTATTTAATCGACGGATTAAATATCTGTTTATATCCTCATCCGTAAATCAAACAATATAAAAGCTTTCACACTTATACAATGGTATTAAAACTTAAATTATAGGACTTGGCTTGTAGAAATAGATTGTATTATAGAACATATTTTACCTAATTTAGACTTGTAGAATTTTAGCTATGGTCAATTCATAATTTTTGGATTACTTTTTCGTTTCAAGTGACGCACTGCTGTTTCACCCATCATGTTACCGAATAATTGGTTTGAAGGTAATATAGATCGGGCTGTGTCATTACTACCTGCAGCAGAAAAGAGCATAGAGAAAGTGAGCAATCATCAAAGACAGAAACACAGAAACAGTTTGTTGCCAAGAAGGTATTGATTCTACCACCCAGACGCAACAGTTTTTGGTCATTAATATTATCAGAGAGCCTTGCGTTAGCTTTTCAAACAGCCACACTTAGCACAGATATAAAGTACGCGATTCGGTGAACATTGTAAAGCAGAATGAATGTGTCTTGTCTTTACGATCAGCATTATTATAATATGCAAAACGGTAACGACTTCCTTCGTACAGCCATATTATCCAAATGTTATTAAGTCGTGAGTTTAATTGCTAATACTGACATTGTCTAGACATGTTGCTACTGTCCAAATCATATCTTGTGTGTGTGGTTGTTTTTTTTTCCCCCTAGCACGAGAAAGATGCCTTTTCCCATTTCTTTGCGCTAAAGAACATCTCCTTCTGTGGAACTCACCCAAAGGACAACAGGTAACCACAGTATCATTTCTAAATTATCTTTCAGTACTTGAATAAGAAGCATTGTTAAGAATGTTGCGGATTTTTTTTTTTAGCGCAATCACGGTGACATTTTAAACGTTTACAGCTGGGATCGAACCCCAGCATTACGAATAAACAGAGGGAGGACCTATTGAGCCAAAGAAACATTATATATAATAAACAAACAAACAGTGTATTGATCGGCATTTATAGAAAGAAGTATAGAGTGAAACACTAGACTACATAAAAATCGTAAGCAGTGCCGGGACTCAGACCTGTCACCTCCAATCGGCGGTTGCGCCTCGCTGCTGGAACACGTGTGCTTAGCGCATGGCCAACTAGGCACCCGTTTAGAAAAAAAAAAAGCTTGAAATCCACAACTATGGAATATGGACAGACTCTCAGAAAACAATCACATCGTTCTTCAGTGAATCTCGGCTTACAGCGGCATACCAGGAAATGAGTTAGTAGATACTTTCAAAAAATGGAATAAATGAGAAACAACACACCCATTTATTGTCATTATCAGAAATCAAAACACTCATCAAGGGAAAATACAAGGAAAAATACAAGGAATTGCGGAGAGAACAAACCAACAATAAACATCCACAAGACCCCATCAGCAGACTCAATAGAAGGCAACGTACAACTATTTTCCGTCTACGAACTGGACACTGCAGGCTTAACTACCACATACATAAAGTAAAGACTATACTGTCCCCACAGTGTGCCTGTCAGACGGGACCACAAACACCTGAGCACATTTTGCAGACCTGCCCACTCTACCTACAACTTCGAAAAGAAACCTCGCCTCAAAAGCAAAGTGTGCAGAGTAAGATATGGGGAACCAGGACCTGCAGTTGACATGCGAGTTCGTAGAGGCGACCCACCTCATAGTCTGATCTGAGCATACAAAACCTAACGCAAACAAGAATTAATATCAAACCATTGAATTGGCACTATAGGTTACATAAATTTATATTTAACAAGTCATGACTGAAAAGCCAGTTCGCAACGTCTGTATGTACAGTGGAACCTCGCTTAAGGAGCATAATTCGTTCCAGAATCATACTTGTTAAGCGAAACACTTGTTATGCGAAACAATTTTTCTCATGTAAATTAAAGTAAAATACGATAATGCGTTCCATATCGAAAAAAAAATACTTGCAAAATGTTTAACTAAAGAAAATTATTTACATATTATTAAGGAGAGGGAATCATCTTCATCTTTTCTTCAAACGCGGAACGAACCCGCCGGGAATGCGAACTCCATTTGCAACAACAAAAAAGTCGAAATAATTATGATACATACCT